ATTTCATTACTCTTTACCAGCCTGAGGATGGAGTCAGCTGATTTTCCCAGCTGATGAATGGCTCTATTCAAGGATTTGAGCTTGGGGTTAATAATTGAGCCGTCCTGCTCCAGGGCCAGCCTCAAGGGCAGGTGACAGATTCTGTGCTTCAGAGGTCCTATTGCTGCAATGGGAAGGGGCAGGAAATGGGAGCCAGAGGCACTCCATAGAACCCTCATAATCCAGAGTTAGATTAAGCAACATAAGCTTTAGTTTTACATTAAGACTTTACTGACAAACTAATATTCCAAGCCAGGGGAACCAAATTCATTTTCAGCAGTCATTTAGCTGCTTCTCTGCAGCAGAGAGTACTGCAATTGCTCTTGGCCCAGCTGCTGTCCCAGGTGACCTGAAGTCCCAATGACAGCCATCTTCTGTTCTTCTGTGCAGAGAACAGTGCACCCTGCACAGAGTTTTTTTTAGTGCTTCTCAACTATCTTAATGGCTTGAAGACTTGAAATCCAGATGGGTGCTGTTTTCTGACTTTCTTAGAAGTGGATTACCTTTCAGATTTTTCCATTTGAGGACTATGAATGGTAATAGGCAATGCCACACTGCTGCTTTGAGTTTTCTGACAGATTATTTCCCATCCATTTTAAATTATGACCTGCAGTTAGAGGGAACTTGAAATAGATGTTAAGAAATAAGTAGGAAAATCCCTAGAATTTTCAGAATCTGATACTTTCCATTTGATATAATCTGTGCTCAGAGTACTAATGGGAATAATAAACAAACATCAGCATTGTTTCTATGCCAGTTAGTAATAGCACCGTCTTTAAAGCTGTTTTCTCAGTTCCATTGCTGTGAAATGCCACATGGGACCAAACCTGCTGATTCTACTTGCAGCTGTTCTGTAAAAGAAGAAATCAGGGATTTTTTTTCTACTGGGGTTCAAGCTTTATGCCTGACTGATGAATGAAGGATAAGCGCTACACATGCTACAGTTCAACTGTGTTCAAACAAGAGATGTGAGAGGAAGCATCCCAGAGCAAGGGCACTCAGCACGTATTCCTGACTTAATATCAGATCAGCATTCAGTATTTGGAGGGAATGTGGGATTTCATGTTTCTAATTTCTCCTGCCCACAGATGCAGTAATAAATAAAGGCTTCAGGCGATAACAGCGACAGAAAGGCACAAGACAGCAAGAAAATACGCTCCACTTTTTCAGAGATGTGCTTTTCTTTCTGGACCTCAGCCCTTTCTATAGCTTGGGGCAAGATTCCAGTGCTGCAGCAATGGAGCGTCAGAGCAGCCTCCTATAAGAAGGCATGGGTAATCATTTTGTAGATAAAGACACAGCAGAGGACATATGCCTACTTCTACTATGAGGCTAGCACGTGCTAGAGGAAGGAAACAAAACCTTGGATCCTTACTGCTAGAAACCAATGGACTGGACCTCTCAGAATTTGCCTTCGTCAACTGTCAACATCAAAAAGAAAAGCAGTGCCAGTGGTTGAAACCAAAGTTCATAGAATTGTTTGAGTTGGAGGGGATCCTTGTAGGCCATCTAGCCCAAATCCCCTGCAATGAACAGGGATATCTACAGCTCATCACGGTGCTCAGAGCATGCTCCAGTCTGATCTTAAATATCTCCAGGGGAAAGAGCGTTCCTCTTCTGTCATCTCTCTCCTCCACAGCTTGGACCAGCAGTTCCATATTTTGACACTGGTAATACTGACCTTGTCAGGAAGGATTTCTTTTGCTTTTCCTTATATCCTAACTGCAGGGAGTGCCTTCTGACAGTAAACATTAACCTGTCAGACATTACTTCCCCCAACACAGCCTGGTATAGGAATTGCATTTCCTTCATCTTGTGTTGTATGGAACAGCATTACTCCAAAGAACACGATACTTTTGCACACCTCCAATACATAGACAGATCCTGAGGAAAAAGGTCAGAAGGAAAAATAGTGCTAAAGCTAACATTTTCCTTCCAGTCTCTGCAGAGCAACTTGAACAATGTTACCTGGGAACATCCGGAACATCTGGATAGCATGGAAGTTTCTGGCCAAGGTGGCTGGGATGCAACTATTGCAAGCAAGAACACAAGGCAATCAGTTTTATGAGAGCTTTGCTTCAGAGACATGACAAAAGAAGTACAATGGGAACTGCCACTATAGATTTTTTTTCGGCAGACATCCTTCACCACTTCTCTCTACAGCACAGTCAACTCAAAGCCCATTGAGGGGAAAAAAAAAAAAAAAAAAAAAAGCATCGCTTACCCAAAGAAACTAAAAAAGGCAAGAATAAGCAAAGAAATGGCAGCAGCTGCTCAGCGGCACCCACGGGGCTTAGCCATCACGAGCAGGGGGGGCCCTCACTGCCCACCCTCACGCCCCCGGCCGGGGGCGGGCTCGAACCCACGGTCCCGCAGTCGCCGGCCGGCTGCCAGGCTGCACGGAGGGAGGCAGCCCCGCACTTCGACCTCTGCCGCGGCTGTAGGTAGGTACGGCACCGCGCCTCGGGACATTGCCCAGCGCCGCTCCTGTCCTTCCCTTGTCGTGTCGTTCCTCCCCACTCTGCTCCATTGCTTTTTTTTTTTTTTTTTTTTTTTTTTTTAATAACAATTACAGTTCTCCCCCCGTTTGAGGTATTAAGATGCATTCCTTTAGGATTAAAATATCAACAGCCAGAATAAGTCAAATTACCATTGGCAAAATAAAGGTAAGATCTAAGGAGTGATTTCTATTTCTCACCACCTTCCCCTGTAAAAAAAAAAAAAAAAAAAAAAAAAAAAAAACCACCCCTAAAAGCCTGCAAAAACTTGTTTTTATATGTACTGCTGGTTGGCATATGGTGAAGCTTCTACAGGAAGGATAGTTTGGGAACCAGCTTCCCTATTTTCCCTCAATGCACTGCCAGATCTGTACTTCAACTCAACATGAAGGTCAACACTGCCTATGCTTTAAGAGAAGTGTGCAGTAATTGAAGGAGAAATGCATTGGTTAAGCCTGTTGTTGAGTATTGGGTCATAATGAAGGGAAATATTTGAATTAAGTGAAAGCATTTTGTTTTTCTAGCATGCTTTTTTCAAATAAAAAGTAAACCCACCCAGCTAGCAACAATTTCAGCGTCTATTCAAACGTTATAAATAGGTACTTAAAGGCTACTTTACAATATGATACAACTCCAGGTGATTGTAATGACTGTCACAGAATATTGCTAAAGCAAGATGTACTCACAAAATGGGAAAAATTCTGAAGCAGTCACATGCTTATCCCTGTGGGAAGATTAGTTAAATATGCATTAGTGAAGGAAAAAAACCCCAAAAATACGTGTTTTAATGAAAAAAAAAAAAAAGCAAACACTTTCAAAGCCCTTTTTGTGATTTCCCCTTGGAGCTCTTGCTGACTTTGAGCTCAGTTCCACATCTGATAGAGCAACACCCTTCTTCTGAGTTGCACTTTGATGAGTATGAGCACACAGCTGAGCCCAGGACACCGAACTTATTTGAGACTATTCATTTTTGTGTGGTTGGGTGGTAAGAAGTATTTCATCTGTGAACATCGTTTGCTAATGTGTACATCTCTACTGAGTAATTTTAATTAATTTGGGCCAGCTTGTCTCAAATGCAACAGCTTCCTTGACTGAAAAAGACAGAAATGCTTTAAAATGTGATTATCTCCTGTCTTGTCTGTCATCCTTTTGCACTGCTTGAAATGGTTTGGGAATCTCCCACTTCCTGGACACTTAGTTCAGCAAAGAATTAAAATTTGAGACCCAAGCTGATGGGAGGTGCTTGGAGGCTGTGTCTCCAGAAAACTAATGCTTTCTGCACAGGTTTTGACTGTTCTTATGCCAGTCTGTCAACAAGAAAAATCTATTATGCAGATTCATAGTTTACATGGACAACAAGGCGTCATTAGGCTGTATTCCTCCAGCAAAAAGCCTTGCAGTTGTAAACAAAATCAACTGCAAACTGAGGGTCTGATGCTGTTGTGATTCTTAGGGGCATACTGAGAAATACTCAGCCAGGAGGAGAGAAGACGGGGATGGCTTTAAGCCTGATCTGCTACCTCGGGGCTTGGTCCTCAAGCGTGTGTTCAGTCATGTGCATAGAAGTCTCTAATTCTCCTATCCCAGAGGCTGCATGGAAGCAAGCTGAGGGGAGATGAGCTCAGTTCTGGGCAGTTTCCACCTCACAAGAATGCTATATTGAGGCTCAGACATCAGGGTGTGTGTGGGGGGACTCCTCCAGGTTATAAGCCAGAAGATCTTAGCTTGTTCTTAACTTTTATAAGGAATGATAATTGAAGCTGGCATCAGAAAGACATAGTTTCATTTGTCTTTTCAAATCAAGTTATTACTTTTGTAATCTGAAGCAGCATATTCTGTCCAATGTGATGAATTTTCAACTATTTATATTAATCTTATCTACTTTGATAGTGCCCAATCAAATCAGTGGCTTCACTTTAAAACGGGCTGCAGAAACAAGTTAGGCTGGTTTGTATGGCTAGTCAAGTATGGTTTCATACCTGCTTTCAGCTTTCACTTATGGGTCCTTTAGAAACCTGATGACCCAAAGTTCTCTCCCAAGTAGCTGCCAGGTCTCAGGTGACCAGGAACTAGTGCTCAAGAGATGAGTGTTCACTGTGTTGAAGCTGCCTGCACCTTTCTTGCCAAGTCAAAAGTGCCTTTGAGGTTAGATTGATCATCTTCAGCCTCTCAAGGCTGTATCGATCTTCAACATTCATCCTTCAAATAGTATGAGAACTGAGCACCTCTCTACTCTTTGCTGCTGTGGTATGGGCACGTGAATGGTGACCATCAGCCACCAAAATCTATGTGATAGGAGAGTATCCATGGCTGCCTAGGGAATTGAGCACAGGCATCTTGCAGTGCTGATGTACACCTTCAAAGCCAGCAAAGGTCTGAGAGACAAGCGTATGGCAAAGAAAGTGATAGAAGTGCATTTGAATGGAATACAGGCACTACAGATCAATAACAGGCAATGAAGGAAAATTGGCTCACCTCTTCCTGTAACCACTAACAGCTCAAGAGGAGCACAGTCACTATCCAGAGAGATACTGCCTCCTCAGCTGCTAACCCTTAAATGAGGGTGAGGAGGGGTGCACTGCTTGCATCTGAGCTACCTGAGTTATCCATGCCTTCTCATCTGATGCTCGACCATTGATTCAGGCTGTGGCCTGGCAATTCTACTGCAACAAGCAACCCTTGAACATCTTCAGATGTCTGTAGATGGCCAATGACGCAGATAGAAGAACTGGGATGTACCAAGGAAAGAAAGTATAAAAACTATGTACACGCATGTATAAGCAAACACAATCTCACGAACTTTCGATCGCATTGCTGTGTGGCACACATACAGATTTTTCAAGCCATATTTAAACAGTAAGGAGTGGCATATTTAAACAGTCACAGGTTACTCTTGAATACATTTATTAAAACTTATTCTTTGATTGCTTATTACTACATCAGTGTTTATAGGTTGTTGCAGCTCTGTTTACTGTATTATCATCTCAGTGCTGTGATACTTGGAAATAGGACACCTGACACTTACTCTCTTGTTTCATGAAGGTAAATTCTAGAATTGCAGTGCCCTGAATACCCTGGTGTTGTCAATCTAGGATTCTTTTTTCAGAAAACTTTGAAACTGTCACAAAATTTCTGCCAATTGATTTATTGTTTGAAACTAAAATGCACAGAATGAAAACGTGGATGTACAAAATAATTCCATTCTGTATCATGTAAATTATGCTGATGCTTATACATTGATAACTGAGAACTTGGTTAGCAAGAAAACCTCAAACTAGAAAAGCAAATGTATCTAACAATTAGACAGTATTAAGTGTGTGAAAATACTACTAGTGATTAGTCCTTTTGTAGCCAAATTTAAAATGACTCCATTAATAGATTTCTTTGGTCCAATTTGTGTCCTTCCAATCTATGTTTTGAAGACTTTACATGTCATCTTGTGTTATTTGGGGTACTGAAATATATATTGTATATTTGACAAAAACTTATGAGCATAGAACTTGAGAGGTATTCTACAGATAAAAGGAACATACAAGAAAGCAACAATTTTAGCTCTTACTTCTATTGTATGGCACTTGTGGCAACTCTGTTGATTAGCACATTGAAGCAAAACTGAAATCCAGCACTTCATTTGTGAGCTACTGCTGGGTATGTCAGCTGCAGGAGCTCAATATCCCTCCAGCTCCTAAGATAGCACTGGGTGGCCCTGTACTCAACATCTGTCTCTGCAAAGGAAACATGACAAGACAGCTACTTTCTGTGGACCATGTAAATCTAAGTTTCCTTACTTGCCCAGGGAGACTTTACTTGCTTTATGCCCCTGCCAGGCTAGAGATATGCCTAGGGTTTAGGAACAAGCTAGCTGGTGTGCCAGCAGCCAGTTGTCAGCTAAATAAATGGGGGCCTCTTGTAATAGGATGCAGACATATGCATTGGTCCACTCACATCCATCAGTTCCCAGTGAGATCTGCTGCTGCCCAGTTTTATTCCTTCTAATTTGATCCATTAAAAACAAACAAATCACGCTGTGACTACGGCTCAGTTGTGTGCAGTTGATTTCACCTAGCGATGAGCAAGATTTAACCTTCTTTTTCACTTGCTGCTTGTGCACAAGTGAAGGAGGACACAGGATTATATCCCACACAGCTTGGAGTTGATAAGGAATCTGCCCATAAGAACTGCAGAAGCCACTTCCAGGTGGCAATATATAAAAATAAAGGCAGGAATGAAGAGTGAATAAAGAGCTTGGAAGTGATGGTGTCATACTGGAGCCACATCCTCTGGGATTTTCTATATCTCCCCCTGTACTTCTGAATCATGATTGCCCCCATGCATTTAACTCCCTTCTTCCCACTGCATCTTTATCATTTTCAGCTTTCCATTGTTTTCCCTACAATTAATTCATTCTGCTTTAACAACTGGAAGACGGAATAGAAAGTGTCCAGATGCACTGGCTGTGATGCAGTTGTGGTGGGCAGCGTGGGCAGAAGGCAGAGCAGGGCTGGGAGCTGGCTGCCTTTGCCTTTGGGGTTGAATCCGTCAGCCAAGCGCTTCTAGGAGGTTGTCACTCAGATGTTTGGGTGCAGAAGTCAAAGCAACGGCAACGCTACTTCAGTTTATGCTATCTATAAAACCACTACTAACACTTTTAGGTAGTTCTATGATTTTAGATGCCTGCAACAGCAACCATGGGAATTCAGGCATATGGCCCTTACCATATGACAAAGTGCCTTTAGTAATTTTTAGTCTTTTCCACACTTCTGCTTGTGGATAAGATACTGCAGTATAAAAGGCATTTCATGCTTTGATTCATCTTCACAAAATTAACTTCCAGTGAAATTTTAAGATACTGCCACTTCCTCTGCCAGCTCACTGCCTCATCTCGTTTCATTCTCAGGTTTGTGAAACTCAAGTAATCCACTTTCATGCTGAGATAGACACCAAATTCTCAGGAGAAACGCCAGAAACATTGGATACTATTTTATAGTCTTAATCTGATCTGAGTCAAAGCAGAAATCACTGTTGCTTCATTATATAGGAAGGGAGAGCAGCTATTTATTACCTTCACCTCCATTACTTCCTGAAATCTTTAGTACACAAAGGTGTGTCAGTATGTGCACAATAACCTGGATTGTGTGTGATGTCTGGTAAAACCAAATGGCTTGATGGTCCATGCAAATAACAGGTTATGTGCATTTTTCCAGGCTACAGGAAAGAGGAAAATATTATGGCTCCTGTTGAAGTAGCTTTAAATACCAATAACTAATAAGGCTCACATACACAGGAAAAAATCCTGCTGAAAGTGTGTAAATGCATGACAGAAGAAATCCAGATGCCCAAGCATGCAAAAAGACAGGTGCTAGTGGAACAAAACATCTCAGTAAGCCCTTTAAAAAATAGACTGTGTGCATGCATACATGTGTGCAACTGCAGCAGTGATGCATACACTTAGCTTAATTGTTGTATGTGAAGCTGCTTAAGAGCTTAGTACTGCCCAGTTGTATTCCTTGGCTTGCTGGCAGTGTCCCTTGGTAGTGATGGGTGCCAGTTAACGTGCTAATTAGATCTCTCTGTTAGTACTTCTTATGCAGAAGAGAGACCCTCTTCTTCCTCCTAGCTCTCCGTTCTCCCTTCTCCAGCACACAGAACTAATCCTCCTACCACAAAATCAGTTTGACCTTCCATGTGTTAGAGACTGAATAAAATGCACCTCCCTTAATACAATTGCTAAGTTGGAATGGATCTGAAGGCAAGCTAGTTGCTTTAGAAATATGAGTAATTAACTCAGTCATTTGATCTGCAGCACTGTAAAAACTAAAATGAGTACAGAAATATCCATAGGTTTTCTTAATCTGCTTTTAAAGGATCTTAACCATATTAGGGGCTCATAGTAGCAATTCAAAAGCTAAATATAAAAGAGGCTTTATGAAGTCATTATAAGCTTTTCTGGGAAACCAGAAAGATCATTCTTATTTTTGGTGTATTATCCTGTGAGATAAAGATAGCAAATCTAGCAAGTAACCATCCAGAATGAGCTCCACAGCAGAGATACTGCGACACGAAGCAGGGCTGTTAGAGCAACGGCTTTTGGAGAGCAGTGTTCTGACAACACCATCTGCTCAGCTGGGCTGTATCTTCCTATTACAGGCTCACATAATGCCCCATGCATGATTTTCTGTGGAAGTCAGTGTAAGAGCTGATGATTTATTTTGACATTAATATTTACCAGGCTGGTGTATGCTTCAATATTCAAGATGTTGAATATTTTTGCGTATTTAAAAAGCCATTCAAGTAGCTTTCCTCTGCTCTTGCAGACAGTAGCAACCTATTTTGCCACTTACCACTGTTGCAAGTCAGATGCTATTCAAATGGCGTTACTTCAAGCAAATAGCAGTGGTGCTGCTTTTGCTTGAATTATGAGCTAAGCCAAAGGTTACTGAAGGGCAAAAGAAGGGAGCTAGCATTTTGTGTTGGCCAGCTGAAGGAGAGTAAAACAAAGCTTCAACAAAATCTTAGTGGTATTATAAAAATTCATTCTTGACACTGAAAATAGTGTAATTTGATTTTCCCTTCATAAAATCTAAGAGGTATTTCATTTGTATTTAACATTTAACAATTCTCTTGCTGATTCTGTCTGATGTTTGTGGGTTTTTTGTTTAGTTTTCAGGTAAATCTTTCAAATAATGTTTCTATGCTTCTATGAAATATAGTAAAAGTTTGAACAGCCAGAGAATTTCAAATCTGTGGAATGACTGCATTAAAGCATTTTGATTGATACTATTTTCATCCAGAAATGGATTACAGAGCTGACAGATTACTTTCAAATAACCATTATGGTTGTGAATCATACTGACAAGAGCAAAGAAATTCCATTCAGAAGAAAGCATCTTGCCTCTGCCATACATTTTGATGAATGTGGATATTTATGTACAGTTAACAGATTTTTTTTTTACATAGCTAGAGATAAAAACTTATCATTTTAATTTATCTGCTGCAACAGTATTTCCTCATTAACTACAAGCTTACTATAATGTGCATCATAAGTATTGGTACTGCACATGGACCAGAGTTGTTGCTCCAAAACAGCTGAGTTCCAAAATGAATGGTTTGGTATTTCATTTTGAAGAGTACATTGATATGCCAGGGATGCACTCACTCACAATTGGAAACAGCACGGGCAAAACTCAAGGTGCTTATGATTTTCCTGCATATGTCTGCAGCTGTTTTTCAAAACAATTACTTTTCCAAATATTGAAAGGATAAATGTAAAAATGAAAGAGTTCTTGTGCACTGGAATGCAGTTTCTGCTGGCAAATTAAATCTAGGCTGAGCATCATGTTGTTTTATTAACTTTGAGTTTTAATTCTTGTAGACATTTACTAATACATTTCTAGCAGCAGCTGCTAAAGGTACAACTCCTCCTGTTTGTGTTGAAAACCTTGTGAAATTTGGATGTTTGGGATGCAAATATGAATTGTAGAACATGAACACTGCATCTTTTTCTTTCACTTCCCTTCTAGGAGCTGCAAGAACTTTTGAAGCTGGACCTGACAATGTGCAGTCTGAGATGCTGCAGCTTAGATGCATTTTTTCTTTTGGTGCTGTGTAGGTAAGAAATATTTACTGAAAATTATTATTTCCTCAATCTATAACATCAGTTATAGATTCATCAGAACGTCAGTCAGCTTAGAGCTAAAAAGGTAATCAAGCCAATCAAGGTAAAGCCAAATCTACTTGATAGTTGAACCTTCCCTCTTCTAAACATTAACTAACCTGGGCATTAATAACAAAAATACAGGAGTGAATCCCCCCATCAATCCTCTTCACCCCTTTTACATATTTTTCACTGAGAACACCAATGGGGGAAAAAAAAAATGAACTTGATCAAACGGTCCTTCAAATGAAGGACTACTGTGTAGAGAGTGTGAATATCATATTAGACACTGGCAAATTCAGAGGGGTGCATGGTGCTCTCTTGAAGCACCTACCTTGCCTGAGGGCAGAGGCATAGAGCGCACCTCCATGTGCTATAAGCTTGAGGTAGCAAAGTCATCTTTGTGAACTCACTGCTAAAGAAAAGTGTCTTAAGAATTGCCTGGTTGAAATGTGTACTATGCTTTGTAGATGAAATTGTGAATTCTTAAGGAAAGCTGAATTGCGTTAGACTGGAAGGTGCAACTGATCCCTCTCACGTACAAATAATCCTGCTAACAGTGCAGTTGCCATGGCAAAAAAAAAAAGAAAAAGCCCCATAAGACAGAAATGGAGCACTTTAAAAATGAAAAAAATGTCTTCTTTTGGAAGGAACATATTTTATAAGCAACTTTAATAAGAAAATGCAAGCATGGGCAGGTTAAACAACATTACACCCACCATCCTTAACTACCTGAAATATATTTAAAACCTGCTTAGCCAATTCTCTTTGTAGAAATACCTTGCCTGTTTATCCTCCTAGTAAATACCTCATGATAAGGTTCTGCCTGAGCTTTACTTTCAAGTTGATGTGCAAACACATTTTTAGATAAAGCCTCACTTGGTGAGGGCAAGTAGCACTCTCCTAAGGGGGAGTGTAAGACCTCTCCCTCCTTTGCCTTCTGCAGTGCTATGCAGACATTGTTGCCCAGAATACGTTCAGTTTTACCTTGTCAGCTGTGACTTGCTACACAATGTAGCTAATAATCATGGCTTTGCATTAGTAAAGTTGCAAAGAGATCAATGTTTATGCAGTCTAACAGTGATAGGACAAGGGGGAATGGCTTTAAGTTAAAAAAGGGGAAATTTGGGTTAGATGTTAGGAAGAAATTCTTTACTCAGAGTACAGTGAGGCACTGAAAAAAACTGTTGAGAGAAGTTCATCCCTGGAGGTTCTCAGGGCTGGATTGGATGGGGCGCTGGGCCCTGACCTGGCAAACAGCGTATGGCAGGGGTTGGAACTGGGGAAGTTTTGAGGTCCCTTCTAACTACAAACATTTCAGAAATGTCTGAGTAACAACTCGCTGAATAATGCTTCTTATTTTCACTTTCAATATGAAGTTATGTTGTAGAAAGTATATGTAGAAAGACGTGTATAAAAAATCCGTAGCCAGTGGATTATGTGGATTATCATTTTTCCAGAAATATTTTTATTAATAAGTAAGAGGTGAATAAATGTACGGCAAATTTATCAAAGTAATCAATAGAGCTCACAGTTTTAATCACTATCAAGAAACAGCTTAAAGACAGGAGTTGATCCCAAGAGCAGCTCCCACTCATTTCAAGAGAGATGTTTCAAATTAAGAATGCCAGCCCAAGATTATAGGGCTGGATTCAGAAGACTTTCTGGGGTGTTGACGTTCTGTCTAACTTAAAGACCACTTGCATTATTTAAGTATTTGTTCCTATACCTGGGAAGTGGTAATACAATGCCACTGTTTCAACACTGCCAATTAAACAAAGAGCCATGGAATGCACAGAATGCTTTGAAGTGGAGAAATTAGCAGTGATGTCGGTGATCCTGCTGCTGTTTATATGTGAAGACAATGCAAAAGCCAATATCCCTGAACATGTCTAGTGTGAAACAAAAAGCAACACCTTTGGTTGTGTCTGCAAACCCTTTGCCTGTCAGTGGATTGCCTCGAAGAAGTTTTTGGCCCAGTTTTTCTGAGGGGTGCGTTTCAAAGGCTCGCTCAGACTGTATTTGGCATTTTGCTTTTCCCTTCTCTCAGTTCTGAGGTGTTTCTGCCGCTTTCATGATACATAAATCTTGATGAGAAATAGCCAGGAACAACATTCCTGCACATGTGTCTTGAATGTACTTTTGTTTTAAATGTGATATGTACTGCTGCTTAGGGCAGATGCTCCCTCGCCCCTCCATCCCCCCCCCCCCTTTGGTTACCTAGTTCTACTAAGTCACTAGGTTGACTGTGTCTTAAATAACAAGCAATTGTACCTTCCAGACGTAGCCCAGTTTGTTAAATATTACATCTTCTGAACCATAAGAATAGCAAAGGAAATTAAATCATTATAGTTCAACTTTCACAGATGCCATTATGGGCCACTGAGCCCAAAGAGTTTAATATGTTTGTTATACCTTGATAACCCAGAACAGAAAGTTTGGAATGTTAAATTATATGTGTATATGTTCAAGTTTTTTTCCATAAAAGCATATTATCTCCTCTGTGGATGGAATAGGCATTTCAAGGCAATTAAATGTGTGCCAGTGTATTTTAAATACATTAAGAAAACAGACAAAATGGAACACTCACGTAGTAAGATTTAAAAAAAATAATAGTAGATAAAAGGGAAGCTCAGATGCAATGATGAGAAGATGTACAGGTATAAGAAGAAACAGCCTTAGATTTTACTGTCATCCTTTGCAATCTCTGCACAAGGCCATGTAATAGATACTTTTTTCTTACAGACGGGTATAAACTCGCTTGCTTAGTGATGACTAAGGGCATGAGCACTGAAGAGCACTTTAGAGGAATCAGGACATCCTGTGCTAAAATGTAGATAAGCTAAAGCACTTCACACGTGTAACATCTATGTGTTCTTTGCCTTTCATCACAGTTTGCTTTTGAGTATGCTGGTAGTTACCTGAGCGGGATCTAGCAATGCACTGTGCTCAAGTTGGAGAGACAGCAGGTTTTCTCTTGCATAGGATTTCTAAATGATTATATGGCAAAATATAGTGCAATAAATTAAACTCTGTTAATTCAGTGCATAAGTTACTTCACAGCAACCTTTCCTTGGCTAAAAGTTCATTCTTAACCATAAAATCAACAGAAGAGAAAAACATGAGACTACACATCGTATGTTGATAAAGGAAATCAAGAATTGTCCTGGGAGATAAAACAAGTAGTCTAAGGAAAGTACTTGCCAGCCTAAATAATGCCAAATATTCAAGATCTATTTCTGCAGATTGGTGTTTATGAGGGCAACACAACAGACCACTCTATGACCACATGCTGATCTGCAGAACAATATTATACCCTTGCAGTGAAAAAGCAGCAAGTTTTTCTTTATGGTTTCACAAAATGTGAAAATTATGCAGAAGCAATCCGGTAAAATTGTGAAATTAAACTCATGCAGCTCATTGAGCACTTCACTGAAATTAAATGTAAATTGCAAAAGCAAGAAAGTCTGTTACAAGTAGAGTATTTAAGAAATGAATTAAATTCAAATGCATTTCTAATTCCCATAATTCTTAGGATATAAAACTAACATTCTTATTTATATGCACGCTTGAACTCAATGTGACTTTCTTTAAGACAAAAAAGAGCTTAAGAAGAAGCAGTCCTTATTACTTAAGTCTACCCTTAAGTAAACGATGAGAAATTCTCTTTTATCAATAACGAAATAAAAGCCTGGTCTAAAAGAAGAGAAGTAAAAATTAGATGAGCTCCCTAAGTCAAAAGGCTGCTGATTAAAACTGGTTTCATATGTGGCAGTTGGGTCCAGTAAACAGAAAAAAAATTAAATAGTAATAACAGCACTAAAAGGTTGACAGTAGACACTGTTTCAAACCAAGATTTTGGGGATCTGAGCCTGATGTAATGGTTGGCGCCCCTGCATGTGGCTTGGAAGTTGGAATTGGACAGTCTCTGAGGTCCCTTCCAACCCAAACATTCTGTGATTCTGTAATTTTATAATCTTGATGTGAAAGACTGGATTACTGCTTGTAGTGGAAAAACTAAGTGATGGCTTGAAGCAGTGATTGAGCAGCTGGTAGGAAGGCAGGACCAACCTATGGGAGCTCAGGTGCATGCAATGTATCTGAGTGACCGGAAGGTGTGGAGCCAGGATCCACCCCTTCCCAGGCCTTATTTAAGTGTTGGCAGTGGAGACAAGGATGTTTTGTTGGAGATCCTTGTGTATTTTAGGCCTTCTGAAGGTAAGTAGCTTCTTTATTTCTGTGGCTGTTGCAGTTGAGCTTGCTGCAGCCTGGGAGTTGGCTGCTCTGTTGTCTTTGCTGTGCTTTCTGTTGTGTTACGTTGCAGTTAGATGAAATCCACTCCTTTCTGGCAGAATTGCTCAAACTTGCTGGAAAACATAGTAGTATTGCAGTCAAAGGAATGCATTATGAAAGGCTATAGGCGGTCCAGAAATATAGCTAAATAGAGCAAGTAGAGATTCTAAGAGCAGCTCTGAGGGGATTAGGAAGAGGAAGCTGAGTAATAACAAGGCAGAAGCAAGAAAGCTCCAGGTTGGGTGCTCACCTAGCCATGGCTTTGCACTACACTCTTTTCCAAAAAGCCTAGCTCTCTTCTTTACAGGGCTGGGTTGCTAGTGCTCCTATATTGCTAAGAAGAGTTAAGAGGCAGAGCTAGGCTGGGGGGAGGATGAGCCCCCATCCCTTGTAGAACATTCTTCTGATGAATTTACAGATGGCTGCTCTCTGTCAGAGCCTCTGCCCACAGCCTGATAGGCTTCCCGAGGTGAGTGGCTTCCCACTGTCTTTGCTTGTTCTCAGCCTCTGTGTGAAGCTACAGTAGAGGCCTTAATGCAGAGGTGAGTTTTGTATTTACTTGTCTGTGTTTAGCTGATGAATGTTGTATTTGTAGCTGCTTTAGGAGTGGTGTGTATTCTTATTCCTCACTGATTTTGCCCAACAGGGTTATTTCTGTAACCTATTTAAAAATGTTGCTGTAAAAGCAGGCTTTTAGAAGTGTTTTTATGCACTAATCTCTGAGGCTGGTTTCTGTCTCCCTCCAGGAGCTAAATTGAATGTATTTCATTATGTAAAAAGAAGCTTAATTTTAAGTACAGCAACAGACAATCAACACCCCACCCACATTCCTAGATTAGTGCCCTATTTACAGAGAAAGCATTAAGGAAGACTGAGCCACTTTCTCAGGTGAGATACAAAGAAGTGCTAGGCTTTAGGATATGAAAGCAGTATCTTTTGTAAATAAGCAATTAACACAGTTTGTCAAATCTGGTATTTTCTAGAATGGTTTTTTTCTGCAGTGCTGTGAAATGCAGACCTGCAAATAGTTTATGTGTTATGATCTGCAATAATCATCAGTAACCTTGACCCTAATACAGTATTGGTCTGGAACATAATCTTTTTTATAACTGATGGTAGTTTTTAAAAACATCCTCGCTTTCTTTCTTTTAGGTCTGTGCAGGTTTCTGAAGCTGAAGGAAAAGGTGAAATTCTTCCCCCAACCATACAAAATATAATAAAAGGATACAACAAATATCTACGTCCATTTTTTGACAGTAAGTAGAAAAGCTCTGTCATGAAACTCATGCCTGAAAATCAGTGATAAAATCAAATGTTTTCCTCTGTGCTGCTGTTTGGTAGCAATTCATCAGATTATATTTGATGCCCTTATCTAGAGTAGAATATAGTGTAATAGTTTTTGTGGCCCAAAGCGTATGTATTCCAGGCATTCACAGACAAAACTTCCAACTCTGTAGGAAACTTGGTTATTGATGCTTGTGTTTCCTCAGTGAGGCATCTATAGAACTTATTTAAAAATGTAATTTATCATAATTTCAAAAATATTAACAATAGGAAATTTTAAAGGTAAGAAAGTGCTACATATCATGTTGCTCACAAAAGCACAGGCAAATCTTATTCCCCACCTTGTACCACGTGCATCTATTACATGCACAAGAGAATTGCCTTGAGTATTAAAGATCACTGAATGGGTTCATTTCAGAACTGCAGAGGTAAATTAACTGAAAATGTGAGTTCCTTGTGTTGGAAGACCACAGCCACCAGGTTGGAAGATCTGTGTTCCTACCTGTCTCCAGCACAAAGTCTGATGTTACTGATATCTAGTACAATCATCTTTGCACATCTGAAGTCTTAGTGAACCTTCCTTGCCCGATTCTGGCTATTGAATGCATCAGAAATACTGATGAGGAGTTGCAGGCTTTGCGGTGATAGATTTCTGCCTGGACTAGCTGCAGAACTCAGAAAGTAGTTTGCACATTGGAAAGATGCTCAGCTTCACATATCTATCAGAAAATAAACCTACACAATGAATGCTAGGCAGTTGCTATTAAAATAGAAATTCAGAAATGTTGAGGGTTTCGAGTTAAGGCTTTTTATATGCCTTTATATCCCATTTAAAAGTGATTCTCAGACCATGCTGTTACCTCTTGCTGTCCAAACACCTGGTTAGACTATCAGCCTGTGCACTAAGGGCAATTGCCAAGGGCAGTTTTTGAATCAATTCCATAAAATATTAAGAGGAAGCCCATATTTTGGAGAGAGACAATTATTGGGTTATTTTATTGTAATTGTCTCAACTGCTGATACAGCTGCTTTTAGATATTTCTTAATCATGAAATTATTAACAAGATGAAAGTAATAATGACAACTAAATGAATGACAGTTTGAGATGTTGCAGAGTGAGAAATATATTAGTGACCACTGAACTTAGTTATTACATTCATTACTTTAGTGTGGTAATATATATGCATTGGCACTGCTCTTATGGATATACTTTAGCAGAATGCAAACAGAATTGCAATACAAAACCCTGTTATCTTGGTTAACCAACACCATAGCACTTTAGAGATATGAATCTTTTTTTTTAATGCTAACAGAATTCTTTTCTCAGCTGTTGTAAAGCAGTAAATCTGTAGCTCTTTTTGTGCTTTTTTTTTTTTTTTTTCAGAAGGGTGCTAGGGGCTTTCTCAGTTGCCTTGGAACTCCCACAGGAGCTCAAACACAGCCCAAGCCTGTCATATCAGAGCCAGTCAAGCACTCCTAGAAGTTGTCAGAACTGCTGCTGGCCGGAGCTCAGGCATGCAAACACTTGTGTCCCGAAGTCTGATGGATGTACAATCACTCTACTACTGAAAGAATAGGTTGACACTCTGAAAAATATATTTTACTGTTGCCAGATGCAAATGCAGAGTTTGTGGTTTCACAAAAAATGATGATTTCATAAAAATAATTTAGGTTAGGATGACCCAGGTTGATCCCAATTTTGTGCAGCTTTTTTCAAGATTGTTTGGCAGTGACTATTGAAACAGCCTGTCCAATTGCATCAGTATGTCAGTACTGATTTACTATGGGGAGGGAAGTCATGTTTCTAGGAAAATGAACAGAGTGTATATGAGCATTAACCCTGAAGTCTATATTTGTTGTATAAAGTGCATGAAAGTATTCCTGTGGAATGGGAAGAAATGTATGCAGCTGACAGCTTGAACCCAGTCTTCTCAAGATGCTTGTCTCCCTTTTTGTGTCCAAGATTCCTTTACTTTCAGAAATGTGCAGAAATATGATCTATTTGTGGGATAAATACACTCATAAATGTGCGAAGAGACCAGTCATAAAACTAGATGGTGATACTTGTTTGCATCTACAGCATTTTCAGCTTAATGCTAGCTGGGTGTTATAATAGAACTATGTAATCCATAATGTTGGAAAAAACCCTGAAGACTGTGTAGTCCAGTCATTGATCCATTACCACAGTGCACACTAAACCATGTCCCTCAGTACCACAGTTGCCCTTGAAGACCTCCAGGGAAGATGATTCTGCCTCCCTGTTCTAATGCTTACCATTCTTTTGGAGAAGCTTTTCTTAATATCCAACTTTGACCTTCCCCTGGTACAATTTGAGGCCATCCCCTATTTTCTTATCGCTCTTGCCCAGGAGAAGAGGCCAACCCCATCTCAATATGCGTCCTCTGAAGGGAGTTCTAGAGAACAGTAAGGACTCTCTGAGCCTCCTTTTTTTTCCATGCTAAATAGTCCCACTTCCCTGAGATGCTACTCGTAAGACTTGTGCTCCAGACTCTTCACCGGCTTTGCTCTTCTTTTGAACATGCTCCAGTGCCTTAATGTCTTGTAGAGAGGGGCCCAAAACTGAATGCAGCACTCGAGGTGTGGCATTACCTGTGCCAAGTACAAAAAAAAATCACTTCCCTGATCCTACTGGTCACACTTTATGATAGCCAGGGTGCTATTGGCTTTCCTGGCCACCTGGGAACAATTCTAGCTTGTGTTCAGCTGCCTCTCAACTATGAACTGCCAAATTTAACACTGAAATGTGATTTTTATCAAGGGTAAGAGAGCGAGAGGTTGGCTTGATTTTTCAGTGTAATGTACTTCATAGTAATTTCAAAGATATTTATCCTTGAAATTTTTCTTCAGGCAGGGAATGGGAGATTTCTGACGGGATGCTGCCAAAATATAATCATATTCTAACAAAATCAGTGCTACTGAACTCCTTAATATGAGTTTTTAGTTAATAAAATGTTCATTGGGCATAAACAAATGATAATAAAATGAAGTTTTTTAAATTTCTGTTTCTTCTGGCTTTAGGGAAAAGGAATCTTTACTTGTCAAGGAAGTATTACTGCAGCTTGTAGTTCTTATGTTTATGCTTACGTTTAGTTCTTGTGCCAGGATTTGCATATTTCTGAAAATTAACCCAAGTTAATGAGGTGAAGATATTTTTCCTTAGAATTTGGTGACTGTGCATGACATTAAATTGTCTTCTCTTGCATGGATTAGAATGAGTAGGTTTTGTAGATTTTCCTAGATTTCTGGATTAATCTTGCTGCCTCCTCCCACACAGGTCATCCCTGCAGAACCTTGCTGCCAAAGCACGGCCAGCTATGCCGAGCAGACACTGCTGTTCCCATCTCTACACCTTATTAGGGTACTTAACATTAGATTAGATAAGATAAAGCCAGGCTTAGTACCTCAAGAATGCGTAGACATGTAAAATTGACTGAATAGTCAATACATTTTCTGTGCTGGGTGGCACGTTCCAGTTGCTAAATTACAGTGGTACTCTCACATAGCGTTTGATACGCAGGAATCCTAACTGGACTTGTTACCTGTCTTTTCTGTCATCTGAATATTACTGTTTCATTTTCTTAACTATAGCACTTTAGTGCTCCAATTTGAGCTGTTTTGTCAAGCAAGTCCTAGATAATCTGAACAAATAGGCTTGGGAAGTTCTGTTAATAGGTTAGAAACACTGCCTAATGAAGAATGATTTTAGCTGTTCTTTGGGCTGGAAATGGAATATTTTTATACTAGTATTAGTAGATAGTGCCTCTCAGTGTAATATCCATCACAGTCTTCTAGATAGGTAAGGAAGTCTTCCTTAGAAAAGCTAACATAAGGGATTTCAAAATGCGCAGTTATTTTCCTTAAATGTGCTACATAACCCCAGCGCTTTATTGCACCTGGACAAGTAGATTTTAAAAATTCTGCTGAAACTGTGTAGAATGATCTTTTAAGTTAAGTGTTGTGCTAAACCTCTCTGAATTAATGAGAAGTTCCTGCTGACTTCAGTGAGCCTTGGTTCAGGTTCATGGAGTTGTTACGGGATGCATAAAATCTTGTAAATAACTTTATACAAATAGATTTTGTTCTGTGATTGAATGTGATAATTTAAGTATTCTAATTAAAAAGAGAGAGACTAGGAAAAGGTCACAGCTAAGTGTGTTTGAATATGTAAGCTACTTTCAAGTAGTACAGAGAAGTGCCATCCTTAAATCAGTTACTCTAAACCACATTTATAAGATCATTTTTCCATTGCTTTTTAATGAGCAATACTTTTCTGGATCGCAAGGTTTAAATTCAAGAAAGCCAATCAAGTCTTCTGGTCCAATCTTACATGTAGCCTGGGCACCACATCTTTCCCAAATATTGTTTATATTAAGTTCTAGTTTAATTAGATGAGGGCAGTTTGGTCCTCAGAAGTTTAATGTTTACCCCCGAAGATATCAGGAGATGCTGGGATGTTAAGCTTGTCTGAGAAGTTCTGATTTGGTGAGACAAGCTCAGAGGGCACATAAGAAATTAATACCAGATAATTGTCAAGTAAATATTATTTTATGTACCAATTAGCTTTTCTCCTCTGGAGCCTGTTTACAGATGTAGCCATGTCTAATCCTTCAGTGAAAGGCAAAAATGTGGCCACTTGTATAATGGGGGGAAAAAAAACAAACAAACAAACAAAAAAACAGAAACAGAACACCTGCTGAATCCTTAAGACTTGTGATTTAATAAATGCATGACTTGATGCAAAAATATAAACTTCAGCATATGGACAGTAATGTAGATTTTCCTTCCTTTCCCGTGGAAATAAGACTGTGAGACTACCCCTGTCAAGCCCAGCTTGCTACAGGACAGATTTCACTGAATTCTGAAACTGAAATGCTGAGTTCTAGACATTCTGAATGATGATCAATGCTTAAGTTCAATCAGAGAAAATCAGCTAATATGAAGTTTCAGGTTGTTTTTATCATACACAAACTGAGAACTTTGTTAGCAAATGTAGTACTGTATCACTGGGTGCCTTCTCTGTGTGCTTACTGACACTGTCTCCTCTTGGAGGAGCTCAGTAAATGCTATTCCTTAATATCCATATTATAAACTCTCATGTTACAGTTCCAGAGTTTTTCATCTGGAAAATTTCTGTCTCTCTCTATTGAACTCTTTATGCTGTTTACACATTTTTTTGAAATGTGGGAAACAAATCTCATCCCAGCAATCTAATAACAGCCTTGCCAGTACAGTCTAGATTGTAAGGTAACTTAAGTCTATGTATTGCTCCCTGTTGGAATGTACTTTTGCCAGAGTATAACACTGAATGCTCATGTTGAAATGATTATCCGTGGCGACCACTAAATCCTTCTCAAAGGCGCTGCTTGCCAAGAGAGTTTCCTGTCTTATACATACTGCCTGCATTATTTGTCCTCATATTAATTGCTTACATTTGGCTGTATTTTAATACTTTTTTTTTTTTTACAAACAATTTAAGCTACTAATGTTACTTTCCCCATCAATTTTTTATGGTGTCCATAAACTGTATTTGCAAAGATGCATCACTGTCTAAAGATCATTGATGCAAAAAAATAGAATTGAACCTTATTCCTGCTAGAAATGGGTCTGTCTTCTGATGTCTTCATATTAACAATTATAGTTGAAATCTGTCAGAAGGCCTGTCTTCATCTGTTCAGTCATTTCATATAACATACATTTGTCAAGAAAGATGTCTTGTGGTAGGAAGTTAAATACACTGACAAAATCCAAGTGTAATGTATTGCTTTATCTAGAAGTCCCATAATATTTTTAATTTAGTATTACTGCGAGTTTGATGTATTCTTTCAAATAGCCATTTCTGTTAAGAAATTTCTGAATACCAACATTGTTTTAAGTTTTCTTGAACTGAATTTAAGCACTTGTGGCTCAGCACTAGCTATTCTTTATGTTGTTGACTGATTTCAGCAGTAGGTCTTTGGAGTTGCAAGACATAAATGACTTGGTGGTGGTTTGCTTTGTTGGTACAAACTTTTAACAGATTGTGATCACTGCAGTGGTCCAAAAGTAAATTTAAAGTAAGCTATTGACTCTTCATTGTGCATCTGCCCCTATTCAGTCTGCTTTTCCATGTGGGATTACTGTTAATATCTGTTAAGTGCATTAAGTAATGATCTCAGTACATAACATACATTTTTAACTTATACTGAAGTTTAGATTTTGAAATTTGATTCTATAACAAGACCCTTTTGTGTATGTTTGCCAGATCAGTCAACTTTTAAGACTCAATTTGCTAATGACAAAACATGACTTCAGATTTCCTCTGATCTGTAGTTTTCTTCTGAAGTTGTTGTTATACATACAATTCTGCCAAACACATGGAAATGTATGAACTGACTACCTCATCTGGTCTACTGCCCTGTTTTTGAAGTTGTCAACAGGAGGGCTTTCAGTGGAAGTCCAGAGGAAACCCTGATAGATAATTATGAGAAGAGTCATTCTAACTGTTGTCATTGATTTACTTATTTAGTAAGGTGCCATAAATTATATTTTCCCCACAAAAAAAAGCCAAGCAACTAAAAAAATCCAATAAAAATAAACCAGCCTCTCCCTCCCCCCCCCCCCCCCCAATAGACCAAACCAATATCTTTTTAACTGTAAATATTGTTCTGACTTAATTTTTAAAGCTCAGCTGTTCTCAGCATCTAATGTTAATAGAGGTCCCTTCCAACCGTTTCCTTCAAGCACGACTCATCCTTTGCTTTATGAAACCTTTTCTGGGTTGTACTCAATCATGATGCCTTACTTGTTTTTCTTTATAGGTCATTTGGTTCAGACTCTACTCCTGAAATTGGAATTAGTGCTTGAGCTTTCGCTCAGTGTCTGTTTGTTTGCTCCTTCACTGCTGGTGTGCTACATAGGGAAGCACACATGCTTTAGCAACTCAGTCTATGAAGGAGTGTGAAGCTCATTGGCCTTGTTTCCACAAATTATTGCTTTATATGCTTTAATTGCGACATGACAAAGCCATAGCTCACCTTCATAGAGTGAAATCTTTCTCCTTCACCTAGTGGTATCACCTCTTAAGAGATTTATTTTTTTTTATAATTCCCAGGATCAGAAATACAAATGGGGGATCCCACAACCACATCTAGCCAACAGCAATCCTTCTGCCATTTTTCTTCCTCATACCCTACTGTCTATTGAAGAGACTTTAAAAACTAGGGAAGAGGATTACAATGCTTAAGGCCTTCAAGTATGTCCCTCATTCCCTACTGACCCAGAAAAACAGAATCTCCTGAGAGAATTGCTTACGGCTTTTCTGGAACCTATGTTAGTTATCTTCTATCAAATAAATTATTTTGAAAGCTATACTACTGTTGGCTATGCAGTTATATTATTAGTATTATTTTCACTTTGACATGTGGCAAATATCTCCTTAAAATATCTGAGGAGATGGCATTTTTTGCTGACTCTTCATGAAATCTTGGCTCTAGGCAGGCTGAATGCACAGCTGAAGCATTTGGACTGTGGAGACTGGCAGGGCTAGGAATACAGATCAGTTTTGTTCTTACTGCATGTTAGCACTTGAACTGCAAGGCAATTTGCTGCTAGAACAATTGGTCTGAGCTTAAGTGCGTTGATGCACTTATTGATGCACTGATGATACTGAAGTGTTGCTAATCAACATTTTCATTAAAATGCACTGCCTTAAATGAGGCAAGAATAAATGTGTTCTTACCATTAACACAAAATGTGATAGTAGGGCAGAGTCTTATTATTTCTAGCCACATCTCACAGATAGCTTTATGCTATGTTGTTCTCAGAGAGGATCAGCACTGGCCTTGCATGATGAGCTCCCTGTTCCAAATGTTTGTGACAATTGGCAATATTATGCTCTGATGAGGTCATACGGGAATCTGTAAGATAACAAGCAAACTAAGACAGGAAAAAGCTTATAAATCACATTTATTTTTTAAATCTCATGACTTCTGAAGTTTTGACACAGTGTACCTGTAATAATTGTGCTATTTTAAATGCTGTATTAACAATATTTTACCTCTAATGGTAGAGTACAATGGTAAGCATAAAGATCAATTGACTCAATTGCTGTTGTACTCTGTTAACAGTAGGAACAGAGCATAATGGTATTCTTAAAGTGACAGAAACAGAAGAGAATGGAGCGAAGCAGAAGAGCAATCTGTCAGTGGTCTGGGAACTTCTCAGTCAACTAATTTTGTTCTGAAGTTAACCTCCATATTCTCTCAGTTGATGAATAATTTCTTCTCATTTCTAGCTACAGTTTGTGCTATATAATAAATAGAGGGATTACTGTCAGGGGCTGCTGCAAGCCTGGAGTCATTTCTTAAGCTTGATCTTTATATTTTAACTTTCAGCTGAGTCCAGAGTGAAGCATTTATGGATTCTTCCAGGAGTGCCAGATTTCTGCGATTCGGAAGTTGTCCCAGAGATTTATACTTCAACACTTGCTTTACAAGTGGAAATAATTCTGAAAGAAACTAAGCACACAGATGTGTTGCTTGATGGGATAGTGTGTCTGTCTCATCTTTCTGATCTCTATGTTATCTAGGGTCATGCAAGAGTTACTTACGTAATGCATTGCATGTGGCCCGCAGGAGGTTTCAGCAGCATGCCTGTGATGTATGGGCACTATCAGCTCCATAGATTGTATCTAAGTTATTCCTTCATTTTTAAGTGTTGCTTTCTCTTCTTTTCAAATTATTTGGAAAGATGCACATATTTTTTAGGGATTTCTTTTTGTATGTACTCTGTTAGTTCTGCACATATTCAGCCAGGTCTGATGTCACGTTTCCATGACAGTTCTGCACAACTGCATTTTAAAATGCACGACTGGTAATTTTCTGGCACTCTGAAATACCTTCATAAGTAAATGAGAGCCCGAGTGTACTAACATCACAATAACATCATGGCCGCTACCTGGATAAAGTGTTTAATCACACTGAATCAACATTTGTCTGACTGACTTTCCTTATAAATGCAAGTATGTGTCACAAGCTAACTGCCAGTGGTCAAAAGCAAGATGTTAAAATTCAGAGAAACAATATAGACAATGTTTTCTTAAGCAGGCAGTAACTAAAGTCACTCAGACATCCCATCTGTGTCTTAAGCATGTGACATTGCCAGGAGCATCTCCTTTGTTTGCCAACATCTGGCAGACCAGATGTTGCAGCTGGAGGAATTTTTTCCACTGCTCTGCACCTTGGAGCAGCAGGGTGTGATGTACCATGGGGACTGTGCCTTCCACACCTTGCTCTGTGGCATTTTTCCCTCTACTTTTCTTTCTGAGGAGGAAAAAATCATACAAATCCACCATAGGAAGTAAAACACGTTTGTTAAAGCCATGGTAATGTTAGCCTAGTAATACTGTATTTTGGCAGTGCGATCAATGAAATTCTTTTCTAGTCTCAATTTGAGTAATACTTTCCTTTTCTTGCAGATGGTCCTGTGTCTGTCGGAATGAGTCTGGATATTGCAAGCATTGATACCATATCAGAAATAAATATGGTATTGTAGCTTTTATAATCTTTTTGTTTTGTCTGTTGGTAAGCTAATGTCTTGTGTTTACATTTGCTGGCAGTGTGACTGAGGTTTTTCCTCTTGATTGGTAGGAGAAATAATTTAATTCTTCACTGTAGATGGGAGATTATAGCACTATAGTCAGTACTGAATTGCAAAGGACGAGATTTCTAGACTAAAATCTGTACCGATGGAAATCAGATCACCTGTAGATATAAACAGAAATTTGCTACTATTAATCTTAATTAAAGCCATATAGAGCAGTATTTGTTTTCCAAATGAAAAGTCTAAATCCCTACGCATTTCAGAGAATTAGATATATTTGCATGTGACTCTGAAGCCACTCCCTTTCCTTTTGTTTAGAAACAATCATAATATTTTTTTTCTTTTACTGTCGTGTTAATTTATTCCAGCTGTTTCATTAGATTTGTATCTGTTCTTTTTGAACAAACTATGAAATGGGGTATACTTTTCTAATTAAAGATCTGCTCTTGCTATGTAGAAACAAAAGACAAAATTCATTATTCAGGTATTCAATACTGGAAAATAGGGATATGTGGATAGTAATACATTTTACCATTAAATTACTCAGACTTCTAGATAAATGGAATCTGAGAATTCTTCTTGTACTTGGCAAGTATTCACAGGTATTTATAAAAGGAGAAGTAAGCTCTGAGCTAAAGATTGACTTATCATGATGATTAAAATACACCATAACATCAAAAGTTGATTAAAAACATGCTAAGAAAAAGTGTGGTTTTAATGTTAGACTACAAGGCATACTCAGATTGCAGGTGAGTTGTCCTGAGAGCAATCTCCAAGGTCTCTATAGATTTGGCGCTGCTGTTTCCCTGCTCTTGTTAAAAAGATATATTCAGCTAAGAGGTGATGATATCTTTAATATATTTCCATAACTTCCTATTACATTTCATTCTTTTGCCATTATGAATGTGAATTTATACAACTTTTTCCCGCAGTTTTCTTAAAAATGCATTATTTAATGGTTTATGTGAACAAAATGCTGTTTGCAGCCACTTACTTATATAAATCATTGTAAGATTTAAAGATTTACAGAGACAGATTATCTGCTGTCAAAACTCTGATGACTTCAGCTGATTTATGGCCCCAGGCTGAGGCCCTCAACATTTACTGTGAAATTTCAATGACCTTAAGAACAAAATCTACTCGAGATAATATTTTTTAATGACAACAACATCACTTCAAGTGCTGGAAAATGTGGCCATATGAGGGCCTGTGCTACTGCTGTCCAAGTGCCTGCATTTATGATTGGGATACAAAGAGTCTCAGAATATCATGCTCAGCAGCTGGTTCCGTGCACTTTAGTAACATGGAATAATAGTGATTTGTTTAAGTGATATATATACACACACACATATTTTTATATATTTTTACATATTGTATTTCAGGATTACACAGCAACCATATTTCTGAGGCAGCGGTGGACTGATGAGAGGCTTTGTTTTGATGGCAATAAGAGTTTAAGTTTAGATGGTCGGCTTGTGGAAATGCTCTGGGTCCCAGATACTTTCATAGTTGATTCAAAGAAGTCTTTTCTTCATGATATCACTGTTGAGAATCGTCTGATAAGAATATACCCTAATGGAACAGTCTTGTATGCTATAAGGTATGTATATACCATATACCAGCCTTTGTGTTTGGCTTCTGGTTACACTTGAAGCTTTTCAGGTTAGCATGGTTTTATGCTTTAAAAGCTGTTCTATTTGTAGAAGTAGAATATACATAGTTTTATAGTTTTACAAATATGTAATATGGTTGATTGATATAATGAAATTATTAAATTTAATGCCAGGTCTCATTTTCAGACCTTTTAAAAGGATACCCTTCCATACCTTTTTGCTTTTGTGCAGACCAAACGCAGGAATTGTCCCTTCTGCTATTGCAGTTGTTTCGTTGTTGAATCATCACAGAGGAAGGAAGCTACAGTGACTGATTTGTGTTATTTATTGCAGAAGACTTCATGATTCAATAAAGTTACATGGCTTATTTTTGTTTTTACTGATGAAGTTTTATCCCCGTAATAATCAGTGTTACTCTGTTTTTCAAGGATTACCACAACTGTTGCATGCAGCATGGACCTGACCAAATACCCAATGGATAAGCAGACGTGTACCTTGCAACTGGAAAGCTGTAAGACAAGTTGTTCTTAGTATTTGTATACCGCTAGAGAAATATCTCTGTGTGATCATTTCCACAGACTGCTGGCTGTTAAGTATTACTGAAGAGGCTGGAGTATTCATAAAAGCCAAGTCACAACACGTGAAATAATTAAAATAAAATCAAAATACTATTTTCACTCTCAGATAAACTCGTGAAGCTTCACTGAAAATAGCATGGGTACTGAAATACTAACGTTAAATAAAACCAAGGGAGATGCCACTAGGTCTGTTCTGCAGGAATTGCTGCAGTTATTCTGTCTATCTCTAGGGGGGGTTCTTTGAGCAGGCATTTTTCAGCACTGCTGAGGAAATATGTTTTTCAGTCATTTTTGCCTCTTTTCTCACTTTCAAATATTGCGATTTTTTAATTTTTTTTTTTACCTGAAAGAAAGAAATTAGGATAAGACTTATGTTTAAGGCATAGAGTTCATATTTCATTAACTTACTCTCTTCATATTGAAAAAGAGTAATTGGATAGAGAGTTCTGTTCAGAGAGGGCAAATACAGAGATCCTTCTATGACTTATTTTAATTCTCTTTGTGACAGTGCTGTGGGAAAAAAATGTCATAAGCGGAAGGACCAACACTAAATCTCCTCTTTTAAGTTCTCACTGCATCTCTGAATGTCCATGTATTTTTTTCATTGAAATGCTTTCTAATCGTGGTCACTTTGCAGTGGTTATCACTGTGTATGTTTAAAGTTAATTCAATTATTAAGACAATATCAAAATATTTTTGTTTGTTTGTTTTTGGGGATAATACAGAGTGACACCTAAGAGGTGCTCTATGAGATAGGAAAAAAAAAAAAGTCAAATATTTATTAATACATATTCAAAATGTTCCTTTGGAAAGTTTTTAAGTACTTATTGCGTTTCATTCTTTAGCACTTCAGAACTGTGTGAGTGTTCATCATTTCTGTTGGTAATGACCAATTATAAGATGGCTTATGAATCAAAGGGAATCAGCCCCCAGACTTTCCTCACACAGCAGTCCCTTTGGAATCAGAAGTTTTATGGCGATAAGATCTGTTTAACAGTGATTCCAGTAAGAATTTGTTTTAATCTCCAATTTGTTTTCCTTTGGAAGAACATATTGGTAAGTCACAATATAGGGCTTTATATTAAACGCATGGCTTAATGAGTCATATAATATTCACTTCCAGGATGAAATATATGTCCCACCAGAACATAGAGCTTTAAAAAAGACATGATTTATAAAAAATAAAAAAAAAAATGCAAATTCCCCATATAATTAAAAATAAACATTGTTCTGAATGATTCCATCTGCTTTGTCAAAGCTCACAAGCATCTGCTGTCCAAGGGGAAAACTTAGCAATGTCATCACAAAAGCTCCCATGTCATTTGTATTTAGTTTTGAGGAGAGCAGCTAGAAAGAGTGAGTGCAGAAAGAAAGAGTCTATCTTTAGCCATGGCCCTTTTCTTCAGTGCACTGTAATATTTTCTTACAGATACACTGGAAATGGTGCTTGCTTCCTCATGAGATAAGCTACATCAGTTAATAGGCAAATTATGACATCATCACTACTTGCAAATACCATTATGTGAAGTTAAGAATGGTGAATGCAAGTGTAAATACACATCCATACAAACGCTCCTAAATAAAATATAAAATATGTAGCAGGTATTTCAGCTGAAACGAGGTGTGTTAGATGTTAAACTCTGATGTAAAGGCAAACATGCCATGATATTGTGGTTTTACACAATAAAATGCCTCTAGTGGTCTCTCCAACATACTCTTTTATTATTAGTAAGCAATAGCACAAATTATGTTCTACTTTCTACACAGTGAGGCACTTTAGAGCCTGAAATTTCTATAGTTTTTTCCCATTTTTGCAGTGCTTCAGAATATTGTGGAGCACCAGTTAGTGCTTTGGGAGTGTTTGTGTTCACGGCCCTGTGGGAGGTAACACCAGCAGTCATTCATAAAGGGCTGGGGGCTTTTTTCCTCCCTTTATCCACCCACACAGGCTGGTTCATATACATATTTATTTGTGGGCCCATCTCTGAAGTTTTATTTCCTTTTTCATCTCATCCTTTACCATTTATGCAGTGAAGAGCCATGTGAAGGCACTCAGCTTGTGCTTGACAATCAAGAGAAATTAAAATTAGCAACAGAATGGTAAAGAAACTCATTTGTATTAGGCATTATGAATATTTAATCCCAAATTTACTATTTCTGTGGTTAACCCTGTTGAAGGTAGCTGTTTACACCATATCAACAAAGCACAGGAATGAGACATTTTGGGCTTGAGGAATTAGTGAGAAAGAAAACTCAATGTAGTGTTAAAAAAAGAGATTATTTGTAAAATATCATAGTTTAAGGTTCTTGTCTATATAAACCTTTAAAAAATTTTACAGTTAGTCAGGTATTAATTCCCCGAATAAAGTATAACATTACACAAAGGGAGCACTGTGCTGTTTAATTTTACTGACTCTTTGGAAGACTCAGGAATCTCTTTACAAATAGAGTTTTGGAATTAGTATTTCGAAGGTATTATTGCATGTAGGATGACAAAAACCTCCTAATTATTCAATTGGTGAAGATACTTTGGAATGAGCAAAAGAACCTCCACCTGAAGATAGGCTTGTTTACCAGTTAAACAAGTAGGGTGATAACCAGCATAGTGTTTCCTTGAAGAGACATTTCTGAACTCCCTGTTTTTCCCACATAAAATGGCTGTAAGAGGTTCAGTACTTTCTTGACACTGTAAGAGCTGGTGCCATTATATTGAGTATAAAATGCTCTTTTTTATTTCTGTGATTCTAGAGCTTTGTTCTTTCAGCAGTACGTACCCTTGTGCAATGTATTGCATTATTGTCTCTGAGTGTAATTTACTTACAATTGACTGGAGCCTAAAAATAATCATCTACTTGTGGTTCTGTGCCCTAAGCTTGGCTATTAACTTGCACAATACAAGTCTGTCAAATGCAAAAATGATTGATCTAAGAAAGCTAAAGGAAAAGATGTTCAAATTCTCCCTGTTAATATGTAAATTACATTAACATAATCTTGAATTAATCATATACACTAGTCTGAAAATTGCCTGCCTTTTAATATAATGGGAAAAAGCTACAGAGGTATTTTAGCAATAATTGTGATGCATACTGACAACTTCATCACCTAGGCTGGTGTCCTTGGAAAGGGGCTGAACTCCTGAGCCAAGATCCATCCCAAGTGATGACCCAAGCCCAGGTTGGAGTGCAGCTCTGGAATGTGGGTCTTCAGCTCTTCATTTCTACTGATGGGAAGACTAAATACACTGTAGCGACCAAGAAAGCATCCTGGGAATCCTCAAAGGGCATGCTCAGCTTTTTGTCAAATGTTGGCATTGTTGTGGTTCCTAAAATCTTTAAAGCTTTGTAGCTTTTGCTTTTTAAATGCCATGTGGTACTACTCTCTTTTGTTAGTTTATCTCATGTATACTACAATAAAAGACATAAAAAGGATTGTCTCCAAAAAAGACAGCTTTTAAATGGTAAGAATTAGTCCATGTTCAGTCTTTGGGAGTTTTATTGCAAACAAGCATTAACATTCTGCCGAAAGTTGCGTTGTTTGTGTCTCATCGTACTTTCAGGCAGATGAATAAGAAACAGCTGAGCCATAACTGCTCTGCACAAATTAATTATTGTGTAAAATAAAAAAAACGTTGCCTTGTGTACCTCTACAGGGGGTTACAATATCAACGATGTCATGTTTTACTGGACTAGAGGAAATGATTCTGTTCGTGGTTTGGACACACTCCAGCTGGCACAATATACAGTGGAAGACCACTTTACTTCAGTATCTGAAGCAGTATATGAAACAGGTAAAAAAAACCTTTATAACGTGTTCTAGATGTGGTTTGGAATATGGCTCTGGAAGCAGTACAGCATTGAGGAGCTTACTTGATGCTTACTTTTTGAATGACATTTTTTGTTTTCTGTTGGATTACATTATTGAAACTGCACACAGGTGTTGCCAGCAGAGACCTGCTACTGTAAAGGCTGAGACCTTGAAAGCATTATCTTGGAGAACATTCTTTTGGAGATCATGCATTACCTAGAGAATAATGAGCAACACATACATTACTCATTCTGCTTGATGCTGGGGAGAGTTCTTATGAGGGAATAAGAGCCCGTAGGTTGGGCATTTAAATTTGAGACCTTTGACTCTGGGTGCTCAGTTGAGGACGGTTTCTAGCCTTTCTGGAAATAGCCACTCTGGTTTTGTTAGAAAAAACAAAAGCCTCTTTTCAGCGATGGAAATTTCTGTGACTATGTTGGGTGCTCTTATAGCTGCAGGAAGTTGGGCTTCATCGCTAGTGCATGTAGGGATTGTTTCTTATCTTTGGTGGCTTCTGTCCAGCGTATGGGCAGCAGAGTGCAGATCACACATAGTTAGTGTGCCCAAGAAAGGATCGGAAGCATTTCCAAGGACCTGTAGGACTTAGTCTCTTTTCTCTTCTTCAGAAAGATTTCTGAGGTTTCCAAGTGTGCAAAAACTACTTTCTGCTCCTTGAGTTGCTCTCAAGTTCCTCATTGCTGTTATTCATTGTGTAATTCAGTTTCTCTTCTGCCCACACCAATACCTGATGCTGACCAGCACCAACTGCTGATCTCCATGTGAGGTCACGTGCATCCTTCAAACCTGCAGTTTCACCAGAGTCTGTTACTAATTCTGAATTACAGATATATTGTTTCAGTATTCCATGGTTGGATATTTCTACTTTAACGATACAGCACAGAGAAACTTCAGGATCTGATTTCAGGCATTAGTTGGACTGAAAGCCCAAGTTCTCTAAATGAATATGACAGTAGAAATGAAACACGTAATAGCAGGCTTCAGGATCACAAAGTATCTTGCTACTTACATAACTGACATCTGCTTGCCTTCCTCCTCTCTGCAGCTTCAGGCTGAACAGCATCAGACTCCATCAGAGAACAATTCTCTACTGCTCTTCTGCCCAGAAGGGTATTAGGACCTGTTCACTACACAGGAAAAAAGGAGAGGAAACCTGCTTAATTCTTATCAACTTCTTTTATTTATCAACCTGCCTGTTTATTTATTTGTGACAGATTTTAGACTCTGGCATAATGCTGTTTTTTACGAGGTGGAATAAGAATGATCTCCAATGACTAGGGGCATGGTCTGATTAGGTATGCTCTTCAGTAAATGGTGCTGTCTTCTTCCCCTCACGTTGGCAGCAGTAATATGCATAAAGTCAAAATCTGCTCCGATTTAATATGTTGTAATGCTTGCAGCTTAATTTGATTAAGATTTCCCACCTCTACTTGTTTCAGTTCTCCCGTTTAAGAAAGCCACATTCTCAAGTGCTCTACTGTACTTTTAAATGAAATCCCATAATCCTCTTCATTTTCTGCTGCATCTATGATGGAGGAGCTATTTTCTGCGTATTTCCTAGGAAAGCAGTGCCTACTTTAACCCATATTAAAAGAAAAGCCCCCACAAGTTAAGAAACTGTGTAATCAATTTGGAGAGGAAACTTTATGCTTTGCATTTTCAGACATTATTAACCACATTAAAAGAAGTATTTTATAAATAACAGTTGTGATTCACAAAGCTGATGCAAAAGATATTAGAGAAGAGCAGTGCTGTTGTATTTCCTAACATAGCAAAAAAAGCAATCAAAATTTGATACTCTGTGAACTTGAACAGACAGTACAGCTGTTCTGTAAGTGAAATATTGTACAGTGATGGAGAGCCCAAGTTCACGTACAGCTGTGGACAAAGCCAAGATTAGAATATGGTCAGCAAAATCCCTGCATAAGCAACTTCAGTATACTTAAGAAAAGGACTGCATGGATTAATCTTGTTTATAGAACACTGTGTATCACATAATAGTAATCATGTTATAATAATCACATAATACGAAGTGGCTTTGTATAATATTAACTAGAGGGCTGGCCGGAGCTTTGTGCTGTTTCTGCCTTGCTACAAAGTAATTTAAATTTGGACATAAGTAAATTCATTGCTAGAGCCACTTCCTGCATGTCTTTAACTATAATCCTTATTCTGCAAACACTGGTACATATGCTCTTGAACCCCAAAACCATGTGAGTGCATCAGTGGTGGCTGGCTTTTTATTGTAGTTGTCTAGCCAACACCACCTGCATCCTCAGAGTAACAAATAGTGGTGTAAAAATCTTGCATTTATTATTGGAAAAACATGAAAGCAGTTAAAGACTGTTACAGTCTAGCTTTTTGTGTAAATAATGATAGAAATAAGGTTGGAATAGACTTTAACAATTCACTTAATCTGTTCTCATGTCCCAAGACAAGCTCATCTATATCAACAACGCACTTCATGACAGATGTTCTTAGCAGTAAATTAGACAAACCTCCAACATGTCTACTCCTCAGCCTTTCTAGATTAATTTTTTTCTGGTGATTATGCAAACATATTTTCCTTGTGTCTAATCTTGATCTCCCTTGCTACGTTTCAGACCCATTATGCGCTGCATTGTCTACTGTGGATAAGAAAGACAAATTTCCTGCTGCTTTTCAGCAACCTTTCCCCATTTCTCATACTAATATTTTCCTTCTCTTTAATTCACATAAACAGTTTTTCTATTGTTCTTCTATTGTTATCCTTACTGTTCTTCCATAGACTTTCTCCTATCTTTGCTGATGTGCAGCACTCAAAATTCAGTGCCCTGAAGTCCTCTGTAGAACTAGGGGATTACTTCACACATTTCATGAACTCTGTTCCTCTTTATCTACTTTAGGTAGACTTTTGCTTTTCTTGCAGAAAATTCCTGTGCACTGCTGACCTCATTTTTCAGCTTTTCAGCTAGTAATTCCTGTCTGAGGGTAGGACTTTTACTTCTATTGAGCTGCATCTTCTTTTGCTGAGGCTGTTTCTGATATTTGTTGTTATAATTATGAACACAGGTCCTGTTCTCCAATGTGCTGACTGTCCTCTTTGCTTGGTATTTCTAGGTATGCCACAGTGTGCTGTCCTGTTTGCCAGTGAGCAATTCTGGGTGCAGGACAAACCCACATGGATTATATTTTCACAGCAAGCCATAGCTAATCAATCTCTCTTAACACTTCTAATCAACGAAAGAAGCAAAAAGGGGTTTGATTCCTCAGGATAGTTGGCTGCTGCTAACTCTCCCTCTGTGCTGACTGACAACTTCCCTTAGCCTTGCTCTCATTGCTGCACTACCGCCATGCCCTCAGAAGCAGCAAGGGTGATGAGCTCAGTGTGCTCAGCTGAACACGGAGTCCTCAACCCCTGTCCAGAAGCCAGGGAGAGTTTTTTCATGCAAACCTTTCCACTTAGCAACTGTGAAGTCAGCAAGGTCGCACATCCAAGTGCTACTACTTTGGCAGAACAAAAGGATGGACAGAAGCATAAAGTCAGCCTCCTGTCCTTGATTCACACAGATAATAAAGCATTTGCCTTTCTGAAAAAGCTTGCAAAGGGAGCTGGCTGCTGCCGCTTGTCTGCAGTCTGTCTGCAGTGTTTTTCACAGTCTTTCTCACTAAACAGAGGCATTACCTTGCTCAATCTTTCTCACTGCTCTGCAGTTTCTTATTAGTTAGCAATCAAACTTTTCTAGGATTTTCAATTTTCCTTTTTCATGATGCAGTACACTGAGTCATTTATGGCATTCCCTTTGTCTGTTCTTTTATAATCTGCAATTGCTCTCCAATTGTTACTTCTGATATTGTCGTCTTTGCCATGCAGGCCTTAAAAACAATCTCAGAACTGCAGTCAGTACAATCTTATGTGAGGACTATCTGGTCAGACTCACTTAAGATTCAAGCAGTTGTATATTCATGTATCTATTGCCAAGTACGTGCAACTTGCCTTGCTGAGCTCGTTGCTCGGATAATTGTTCTTTTTAAGTGGAGTTTTCCACTTGAAGAATACAAAACTTTCCATCATTTGTTCTTTTTCTGATAGTTCTGCAGTGCTTCACAGCATATATTGAAGCTGCAAAACAGTTTAGAAGGAAAGCAGTTATGGAAAATGCATTGAAGATATGATAGCAACATAAAAACATATGGAAAGGCAATGATTTGAATGAACAAGGATGCTAGGAAGAGGGGATTTTTTGCTAACTTCTGGAAAAGTTGTTTGTACTGCAAACAAAAATACAAACACGGGGAAAACTTCCTGTGGCATAATTGTTTTTGTAAGGGTTTTTGTAGAAAAGCTAAACAGGCAGACATATCTGCACACAAATACTATATGAAAGTGTTTGTTTTTTCTAAGGAAATTTGAATTTTCAAACTCTATTTCTGTAAAACATTTTTGTGACGATGAAGCACATGCTGAGAAGCCTCTCCTGATCTTTCTTTTCCTTTAGTTGACCACTGAAGGACAAGTAGAAAAAGAAGTAGTTTGTAAGATCCTGACTGTGAGCAGTGGAAGGTTATGTTGAAAAATATTGTTTCACAGCTGAGAATTTGCTCTATCCAATAATGTGCTCTTCACATCTGTATGGAAATAAATAGGAAGCATTACTTTTGGAGTGACCGTAGCATCCTAATTTCCAATTCTCAGTCAGAGAAGTTGCATTACATTGGCACAACTTATTTGTTGGGTGAAATTGGAGACACTGCTATTTTGTGTATTTGTTGTAATCAAGCAAAAAAATTGCATACTGAAAATTACTATTTTGGCAAATAGTTAGACACTAAAGTTATATCCTGTACTGTTCCCTTAAGAGATGCAAGCAGAGAAGAAAGTGATACATCGGTAGCGTTGTACTGATGAGCTTATGGGAGATGTACATCACACGTTTTAGCTGGCACCCAAGGGGTGATCATACATATTTAATGATAGGGAAGAATGTGCTCTTTGTGCCTGACTGCACACTCTGTGCAGGACACCAAAGTGCTTCTTACATAATGAGTGATGTAGAGCTTTCTTTTGTGGATGTAGAATTCATCAAAAAGTCCATAGGAAGCAACTGTGGGAAGATGCTCCCATCTCACAACACCTGAAGTCAGGAAACGAGGACATTATGGATCACGAGTCCTTCCTTCAGGCTCCTCTGCTGTGAGTTTCTGCTGGCAGGGGGAGCAGAAAGAGCAGGGATGCAGCATTCTGCTGTTAGATTTTTGCTTAATTACAAAATGGGTGATCTGGAATGATAATGATGCTTGTTTATTTAAGCCAAATTTCCAAGGCAAATTGGAAGAGAGATAAACTGTCTTCTCTCGCATTCAGAAAGATCTGCCTTAGACCTATATGTATTCTACTAATGGGGGACAAATGCTATGCTGATATAATTTTTAAGACTCAAAAAATGAAGAAGTCAGCTGGAACCACCTGAAATTCCCTGAGGATGGAGAATCCTTGCATTTTCTTGGGTGCTCTTCTTTAAAGCAGTAGAGAGAGCTGGAAAATATAGAGAGACGGCAGTCTGCTATCTAGATTTGTATTTCATCTCAGCTAGAGCTACTGTCTAGTTTTTTACGTCTGTTCTCTAGTGAATTCTATAAAGCCGAAGAAACTCAGCTTAATGTTCTTTCACTGTGAGGTAACATAAGTAAAATCACCTCATCTTTTTGTGGGTTAAGAGTAGGTGCACAGACAGCCATTCAAGTTCAACACATATTTGACAATCTATTGAATGCAGTAATGTGAGACCTTAGTAAGTGCTAAAGCTCTGCGTCTGCTGCAGAATTAGCTGTCTGCACCGAGATTATTTCCAGCAGATTATCAAATCTATATTGGAGCCATCACACGTTGAGGTGACATCTGTCATGGGCCAGAAACTTGAATAAAAAAGTCTCTGCTCATTTAAATGCAAGCATTTTGTTCTCAGTCAGTCGAGCAGGGTGCAGGCTTGTCACTTTAGGAGTTAGCCTGTCCTGTACTTGAGTTAACTACAGTAAAAGCAGGATTAGTACTGCAGTGCACCTGTTTCATTTTTGATCTGATTATGGCACCAGAGCCTTAGGTATACAAGTCAAAGTGGATGAGATAAGATTGTTATTCATCATTATTATCTCACAGGTAACACACATAATAATAGCAGTGGTGAATCAGTTTACTTTTAAACATGATAACTTTTGGTACATATGGAGAGTGGAGAACTCATTATTTTGTCATATTTTAGCATGGTAAGTATGCATTACATACTTTTTCTTGCCTCCTTCCTTCAGTTTATTTCAGAAGGAGCTTATTGAATCTTATATATAGGTTGCTTCAAATTTTCCATTATAAAGGCTCTTCTGAGCTCTGTGTAGAAATGCTGACACCATTATTATCATCCCCCTTTGCATTCTGGCAAGCAGAAAGCCTTAAGGTTAAAGAATTGCCTTTTCTTTGTTCCCAGAAAAGCCACTCAGCTGTAAGCTTTCACATCTCTATTTCTCTTTGTTGTTCACATTGCTTCAGAAATGTATGGCATCATGAAAAATAACACCAAAGAACACCAATGAACATTCTAAATGCTTGTCCACACTCTGAAATTATGGCAAAATGGCAAAGGCTGACTTGAAATTTTGATATTTTAAACTAACTTCCCACATACGCAGTTTTATGCTCAGATAAATAGAGTTGCTGGGAGATAACGAGGAGAGGATTTTGCTGTATGACCACTCAGTATTGCCTGTTTCAGAGTTTTCCTCTAAGTTTTAAACTTCCTAACTTTTGAGTGCTTTACTTTGACGTACTCTGCACTTTGAATCAATTTTGGTACATTAAGTGGATGACATGGTAAAAATCACAGTACTGATAGAGGTACACTAACTTAGTGCCCCCTTTTTCACTTTAATATGATGGTAATGGTATAAATAATCTTTGCGCCTCCTGCCTCATGGACAGATAAAATCTACTGTCCGTTTGTGTATCCCTTTTTCCATCAGCCAGAAGCTTGTTGAACTCAACATGCTAAACTTACAAAGAAGAAGCCTAAATACAGTATATTTTTATCTTCAGAAGGAGAATGAACTGCCTACCAAAGGACTGTTTAATCCAGTAGTGAAATTGCAAAGGCAGGAAGCTGAAGTCCAGTTAAGATTAGAAATTAGAAATACTTTTTTTTTATACATTATTTTAATCCATGTAACAGGTTATTTGGTGGATGCTTCATGTCTTGGTACGTATAGAGCTCATACGGGTTGATTGATTGAAAGTCTTTCTTTGAGTTGCTCCTTCACAATATTTTTTCATGCTCTTTTCACAGGACGCTACCCCAAGTTAGTGTTTCACTTTGAGCTCAAAAGAAACATCTTGTATTTCATACTAGAGACATACGTACCATCAATTCTCCTGGTTGTGCTCTCCTGGGTATCATTTTGGATAAGCCAGTCATCCGTTCCAGCCAGAATCTGCATAGGTAAGAAACTGATGAACCAAAACTAAGCCTCTTCTTGAGAGCATGAGAGATAATGGCTTTAGGCTGTGTCAGGGGATGTTCAGGTTTGGTATTAGGAAAAATTTCTTCTCAGAAAGCATGGTGAAGCACTGAACAGTCTGCCCAAAGAGGTGGTGGAGTCACTATCCTTGGAGTTGTTCAAGATGTGGTACTGAGGGTAGTGTGGGTACTGATGGGTAGATGTGGTACTGGGGGATGTGGTTCAGTAACCATGGTGGAGATGGGTTGGTGGTTGAACCACAAGGTCTTAGAGGTCTTTTCCAACCTTTATGGTTCTAGGAAACAGAAGTCAGAAGATTGATTTCTTCATTGGAGGTATTTGGCATGGATTTCCAAAAGGTGCAGACACTTCTGAGTTTCATGAAACTGTTTTTCCAGTTTGCTGTCCGCAGCACATCGTAGAGATTCCCCTGGAAGCCTTGCTGTTCTGTAGCAAAGCAAAAGTCCTTGGGAGCTACAGGAGACCCAGAGGCAGGGAAGGCTGCTGGAAGCAGAAGAAAACTCCATCATTTTGGGAAAAAATTCAAAATATTCAAGTGCATGTCATCCGCAGACAGAATTCTGAGTTGTGTTTTTTTTTTTTTTTCCCATGAAGGTGAATGCTACATACTAATTAACACATGAATAGTAAGAGAATTATGAGATTAAGTATAGTTAATTGCAAGTAAAGGAGATTCTGAAAGGGAAAAATGCAGATCAGTTCTGATCAGACTGCAGGTGGGGTAGGGAAAACACTTCTATAGAATAGCAAAGACAAATTTCACTTTAAACGAGGCTGATGGACATGCCTGATATCTGAACGTTTTAATGGAAGCATTTGCATAGTATTGCAACATGTTAATAACAAATATACTTTCTATGACATGAAAATCCTTCCCATTCTAATTTCCCATCTTCTCAGCTTTCCAAACACTTTTCTTCAGTATTTTTAATGTCTTTCCAAAACATGTCATGTGAAATGCTGTGGCATATTAGGAGTTTATGAAGCTCAGGAAAGAGTATCTTGTGGATTACCAAATGCAATGGAAGGCCTCGTTGCTATCTTTTTTTGCCAGAATTTATATTTCTGTGTCCCACAGGTGTTACCACAGTCCTCACTATGACAACGCTGATGATGGGAGCCAGGACTTCACTCCCAAATGCTAACTGCTTTATTAAGGCAATTGATGTGTACCTTGGCATCTGCTTCAGTTTCATCTTTGGAGCATTGTTAGAGTATGCTGTGGCTCATTTCTGCACCCTGCATCGACCCAGTTCAAAGGAAATTCCAAAGGTATTTTAACTCTCTTATTGTTGGCCTACAAAGCACACTTCAATTCTAACTGCTGAAAAGAATAAGTTATTTTATTTAGCACTAATAGTAAATGTATGTAAGGAATTTTATATTTTAATGTAAGTACAGTGATAACTAAATAATGTCAAGAAATAAGAAAAAGGTTTTGTTTTCCTGAATCTTTTTGAAAGAGAAATCAAAGTGAAAGACCAGTGTGATACATGTACAGGCCTTTTCACCTTTTCTCTTGTATACACCCACTCACTGTTCAAAAATTGGACCGAGCAAGGTGGTTTGATCTTATTGCAGTACAGAAAAAAAAAACACAAAGAGCACAAGCATTAATCACATGCCATTTATGAAACCTTCTGCACTTGTATGGAATGTGAGTCAGCTTACTAGCAGAAAGCTTCATGCCTCAGTTCCTTGTAGCCTTCCGCCTACATCTTCTGTCTCAGCAGCTGCAGACTGTGATTCACTTTCTGTTCTGCGTCATTGTTATAGCAGTGCTTTTTATTGCTCTAGTGAGCTTCTCAGAACTCTGAAATGCTGTGAAGTATACTTAAAATACTAAAGGATCAAATCAATGTAGGCATTTTTGAGTCTGGTGGTTGTCATCTTGCTGAAATAATCGGGACAGGTTCATGAGAAAGTTTTGTCGTATCCTCCATCTTCAGTGCAGTGGAAAAGAAATAACTAGAAAGTTAGAAACTGATTGTCTTAAAGCTTTTCATTATAGAACAGGATTCAATATGCAAGAAAGGAAATAAAATTTTAAACAGAAAAAAGGTGATAACGTTTCTTAATAAAGCACAGAAAATGCGAATATGACAAAAAATGCAGGAAGAGGTTTGGTTGGCTGCTGTAAGGTTAAATGGCCAGAAAAAAAAGATGACTTAACAATTTATGCCAATTTAGAGCATCACAAATGCCTCAACCGAGTTCCTCAGCAGGTTCAAGAAACAGGATAATGAATTCTAGTGCTGCATCTTAAAGACCATGAAGGTAAACTAAAATTTTCTACTGTAGGATTTTGGCTGTATGAATGTCAGGTGAGTTGTGTAAATGCACAGAACTGTTTTAAAAAAAAAAAAAGCCAAGAGATGTAGTGAGTGAAGAAGGTTTGAAAAAGGAGCAGAAAGGCTCCCATTGGGTTTTAAAAGGCACAATCTAACTGGGGAATGTCTGCAAATGAACAAATGCTGGTTATGATTGAGGTTTTGAGTGGAAAGCCTAAAAGTCATTTTACTTGGCAGGGTAGCATCAGTAACAATTCCCTCTGAGCTTATCCATCTTGTGAAGTAAGTGGCTGTCATTTGCTCATTGAGTGGAAGAAAAAAGAAAGCTTATTGGAGGTTTGAATAAGAAAGCCAAGTGTTTCAGTGCTGCTGGGATGATTAAGCATCTTTGGATCTGTGAAGGGCATTAATGACTTCCCTTGCCTTCATCTACCTGAGTCAGCATCTCTTGTGGGACACAGGTGCCAGTGCTTACAAGTGAAGCAGGCATGAGAACTCACAGATTTGAAATGTGCATGGAATTAGGTGGAGGTACAGCCCTCAAGCGAGCAAGGAAGAAAGACTTAAGGTGCAATTCCGAGATGGACTTAATGACCAAAGGGGATACTGTGTCACTTTAGGCATGTTTCCTACTTTCTATTCATCAGGAGTGAGCAAATGCAACTCACTTCTTGCCCACAGAAACACAAGCCACATAGGGAAGAGGTAGCTGGTGAGTCCTGGATCAACTCAAAGCCTTAGAGTAAGGAAAATGCCTGTCGTGTCTTTTTTTTACATATACTGTAGCCAAGGAGATGAGCGCTGCTTACTGAGCAGGGTGCCACTGAGAGCACACCTGGCTTGTATTTCTCATTTCTCACTGTGAAAACAAAATATCACAAGGATAGAAATACTAGCTAAAATGTCATGTCACTGTCTAGCAGGTACTTAATGAATCTCTTTGTGATTATCGTCACCACAGATGTGTTTTCCTCATTATCACATGCTCCTGTGGACATAGGGTAATTAGAAATCTCACTTCCCAGTTTGCTGTTCTCATACAAGCCGATACCACCTTTGCACTCAGAATTCTATAAATATGTTTTAGAGGTGAATTGAAAGTATAACCGTCTGCCTTGCATGGGAATTAGTTGTGCTGTTTTCTTTTTTGTTCTTTAAAACACTGGTGCACTGGCATATGAAGTTCTTTTGAGGCTTTAAGGATCTGTAGTTTGAAGTAAAAACTGGAGAAACAGCTCATCATATCTGTGCTATTGCAATGTTCAGTTGTGTGAACTGGTCCTGCAGAAACAGCTTGAAAGCTAATGGCAAAAGCACAGGATCCACCTGCTGTGAGGACGGTCAGACTGACTGTGCCATTCACATCAACTGTGTGGCAGACTGCCTGAATGAAGAGGCTCCCTCTTCAAAATCCTGTTTCTCCTTTTTCATACAAAGGTGTGCCCTCCTATAAAACAGAGAAATCCTCCTTGGACTTAATTCATCTTTCACCTTTGTGTTTTCCTCTGGAGCAGATAGGGAAGAGGGTTGAAAACTGAAGATTACATGGGCAGTGTTGTGAATTTAAGACATTTCTGTGCCAGCATCTTGTGATCTGTACAGACACAGAAGAAGCTGCAGGTGTGTGGCATTCTTGGTTGAGATATTATGAATCTTGAGCACCTATATTACTGCACCTATAGTAGCAGTAACAACTTCCCTCAATTTTGCTGGCTGTTAGATGTCAGCAGAAACTTCAGCACATCCCAGATGGTGGCAGATGATATACTGTACTTTTCCAGGATGCTCTTGATTTTATATCCCAACAGAGCCCTTCCTAGTGCCAGCTGCCATTTTCTTATTGACAGCTGGAACGCAGGGAAGTAGGGGAAGTAACATTAAAGATTAGAGCCACTGTTTTTAACGTGGAACATCTTAATCTATCTTTGCATTCAGTTCTCCATAGCAACCTGGAAAAGTCCCTTGATAGTCCAGGTTATAAGACTGTAGTTCTTATAAGCTAGTGGTTGTGACTGTCCTTTCAATTAACTGTCCCTTTTTTAAGCAATGTGATACAGAAATTTTGCTGTAAATACATCTGAGAGAGCCCTGCCTTGGCACACTGTGAAGGGAGTTGAGTACGTATGCACCACTTTTATAAATGTCTCCTGGAGAGTAGAAGAGAGTTCAGAACGGCTTAATAAAGCACCAGCCTCCTGTGAGTTGTTCACATGCAGTTGTGTGAAAAGAAAAATGGCACGTACACAATGTCCTTTCATGCTCTGCAGTACAACTAATTCTGTACTGACTTTTAGCCAGCCCTACCTGAGAGACGAAGAGACTCAGACTGAAAAATGCCCTACATCCTGTCATTTTTTAAGTCCAGATGTTGTTTTTTTCTCTTTTTCCCTTTCTAAAATGTGAGAGCGCTGGGGAAAAAAAAATATATATCAGGATCTTTCTGACAGGTTTCTGTATTTTGCTCACTGCTGGAGCACTGGGTGTCCCGGATCAGCAGCAGTGCGTGGTTCGAGGTGCCCAGCAGTGCTCCCCACTGCTCTGCTGGGCTGGTGGGGCTCTCTGAAGCAGGACAGCGTATTTCTAACAGCCAAGTCACACAAAAAACTCCAGATTTGAGGTGTTGTTTGGTTTGTTTTAGGCCTCAGGTTGGAAGTCTGTGGAGTGATGCTCTTTGTGCTTTTTGTCCTGTCCGTTGGTTTCCAAATTCTTACACAGCTGCGGCAGGCTAGTTGTGGGGTGAACAAGTTTTTGTAGTCAGAGTATTTTTAAGATGATGCATTGTGATGAGCTACATTTATCTCTTCCTAATAAAGTATACTAGGCTTTTTTGGCAAACAAATAGCAGTAATAATCCCATTTTCTAGCTCCGTCTGTTCTGTTTCACTGATTTACCAGACGCTGTCCAGACTCCAATTTTCAAGGACATTACTAATTTTTAGATGGAAAAAGACCCAAAAACCATGCCACTTGCAAGTACCCTGGACAGAAGAACAATTCTGCACTGGCATGGAGGTCTGTCAGGTGGCTTAATGAGCTCTCTGTGTCGTTAAAAGCTCTATTTTTTCTAAATGAGCTTTTTCTGTGACTGTACCTGCAAACTTCTGTAGAGATTGTCCTTATCTAATGTAGTTCTTATGCAAATAGAAAAAGTGGATTACTCAGAGGAAAGGGATTCTGCATTCTACATTTCACAAATAAATTTTTGGTCTTCTCTTGCTTCTGTGCTACTCCTTGGTCTGGAAGGTAATAAAAGCATCAGAAGAAACATAAAGTTGTGTAGGACTGCTCAAATAAAGATAATTCCCCTCTTAAACTGTTCAGAGTTAGGAATAGTCTAGATACACATCTGGAGCCAAACTCTGGGGCTTAGATCTGCTGTTATCTGCAATATCTCAAACCAGAGTAAGACTCCAGAACTTTCATGGAAGTTTGTTTACAGCTGAAGCTGCAGCTGATGTCTAATCCCATGTCCTCTGAGTCAGTGGCAGAAAACACACCGACTTCAAAGGGTGAAGATTTCATACATGAACTCCATGGCTCTGAGCCATTTCTAATCAAAGAAACAAAACCCACCAGAACACCAGGCGGCTTATACAACATTCTCCAAAGAGCTGTCTTGATGCAGTGAAGCACATGAAAATGTGCTTAACCTTAGTATAACTTTGAACTTAAAATGTAAGTTTCAGGACTCAAAACGAAGTATGAACTGTTTGGTACTGAAATAGTCATGGGGCTTTTCCCTCTTTATGATCTTTTTGTTTTTATTTCTTGCATTTTGTTTTGTTAGTTTAACTATTTCAGTTTTTATTATGAAGCACAAGGAATGGAGCATCTAGCTTAGAAGGCATTTTGTATTGCTGAGTGCTTGATTTGGGGTGCAGCCAGCTTGACCAATATCTGCCATCTCAGCCACCTTCACCGTTCCCCCAACTGGGGCTCTGCTTTACTTGCTTTGCAGAAATTATGTTGCAGAAGATGACTTGTTATTGTGGATTTGCTGCTGTGTTAAGCTTAATGGGCAAATGGGCCGTATTTGAACACAACTAGCTTTGCACTGTGGTCCTCTGGAAGTTTTTGTGGTGGGCTGTCATGTAAGTTGATGTGTTTCTCCTGTATACGGAGGCTTTGAAAACTGAAAGGTGCTGTCTGTACCTGTGGTTTCTCATCCTTGGAATCAATGAGTAAGCCAAAGGAAGAGCTGTAGGAAAAATCCTATTATTTGCTTCAGCTCTAAAGTAAATAGGGCAATGAAACATGAACTTATGTTCCTGCTGTGCTGTTTTGTTTCCTGTCAGGATGAGGATGAAGGGACTGAAGAAGAAAGGAATGGAGTTCTGGCAGCAGTTGCTAACAGTTGCAGTGCTTCTGACACCACGAACAGAATTGATTCAGACAAGGGCAGCAAAACCAGCATCAATGGCAAAAAGGAGAGAAATAAGCACAGTGGATGTAGCTCGCCAATGTCCATAATGAAAAGTCTTTTCTGTATCTTTGATTGTTTCCATGTTAAAAATCCTTACCACATAGACAACTATGCCAGATTTTCTTTTCCATTATCATTCATCATAATTAATGTATTTTATTGGGTATATTATTTGTATTTCTAAATCTTTTGAGGTGTAAAACTGTCATGGCTCAACATCTAGAAAGGAGATATAGTTGGTAAAGTTACAGAAGAAGGAGAAAGCTGCCTTAGGGAAAAGGGATGTTGGTGAACATGCTCTTTTCAAGCTTTTATGCCAAGTCTCATTAACTATCTTTTCTGCTGTTAAATGACTGTCATCTGAAATTGACTTTCCTTTTAGCATGCATATCCCATATTACACTATTTGTCAATGGCCACAACGTCCTTTTTTAATATTTTAATGGCCAACTTTGTAAAATAAAAGTTTGCTTCTGAACTGTATTGAATATATTTAAAAATAAAGATGATGAAGTGTAGTTTTCCTGCAATACTTTCAGTATTAAATTCCCTCTTACTCTCTCAATAATCCATAATTTTTCCAGATTACGTAAGAGAATGTATAATTGTGGATTAAAGTATTTTTGTCCCCTTGTAAGAAAGTTTTGAAGATGTGGGCTACCACCGCCACCCTAGTAACATGTGCAGCTTTGAAAGGTCACAAATACATACCAAGACCCATTCTTTACATAGGCCTCCCTTAGTTTCAGTAGCTTTTCTGCACAAGTGCATGGCAGAACATAGAAATGGACTGGAGATTAAAAAAAAATCACATCCAGACAGGTTTATTTCCAAGTGAGAGCATAGGTGCTGGCCAGTCCTTAATGGAATATGGCTGTTTGTGCTATGCACTTCCCAGTCACAACTGCCGAGGTAGCTATTTGCATAAAGATGAAAAGGTGTACTTCCTAGAGTCACTGAAAAACCTCTGGATACACAGTAATTCATGATGAGGAGATGGAAGGTTTTACACAGATGAAATAGAGAGTTTGATTTGCCCTCACAGCAAAATCTGTGGAAGTATATAATCACTGCACACTGGTATACAAATAGTAGATTTTAACCTATTCAGGCATCTTCTCTGCTGTTTGTAGAAATATCCTGTCATATTTTCAGGCCACTTGAGGCAAATGTACAACAAAGGACACACGAAGTAGGTGAAGGGGAGTGGCAGTGCCAACTGATGATGCCTCTTCATGTAGTTTACTTGAAGATGCTGAAGATGCGTTGCTTTTTGTGCACCAGAAGG